TATATATATATATATATATATATATATATATATATATATATATATATATATATATATATATACTTTTATTTGACGATACTCATCTCAGTCATCCAAAGCCACAAGACGAACACACTGAACATATAAAACGCAAAAATTTTAGATTTGATTACTGCGGATCGAAAAAAAGAACTTCTGGTGATTTGTTTTGATGTCGGTTAGTCTACCTTATTACAGAGTTCCAAGGATGACCGAAAGTATTGCTGGTATTTCCGTATCATGGCAAATAGTGGACGGTGTTTTGGATGAATGTGATGAGCAAAGCAAACGACTTATCAGCAAAGCAGTTAGTCAATACTTGCTCAACTTACTGCTATTTGCTGTTGTAATTTCGAAATCTCTCGATGCTTTTTCTCGCTGTTTAGAATATCTTGAAAGTTGCTGTTTGCATGCACTTTACTTCCTGCTTGAAATCATAAATTGACGGTATTACTTCTCCTGTCCGTATTTCTTCTAGAATCATCATTCTCTTTCTATCCTCTTTTTAGGAAAATTTCTGTGATATTCAATTTCAATAAGAATTTATCTTATATTTAGCCATGGAATCGCAAGAAAAACAGTCAGCTTTTCCGAACTATCCCTTGTTCTGATCATCCGCACAAAATGCAAGAAACACAACTCCGCAATCCACGTCATTTCGTTGCATCACTGAAAAAAGTTTCATTTTCTTAATCTTTAAAAATATTTTCAGAAATATTTGGCAGCTTAATCAACAGATGGTTTGAACAAGACTTTCGAACAGTGGTATTCTTAGTTCCTTTCATTAGACTAACATAGGATAGTGTCTGCCGTCAGTTGCCTTCTTGCTAAGTCATTTTGGCTGAATAGTCAAAATGAAGTAGTTCCCGGGCTTCCAAGCATTAATTTAAAATGCCGATGAATAAAAAGTACATGAATTATTACAGTATATCGATAATTACGAAGGCTTAGTGACAGCAGTGCATGATTCAAGCGCAGTAGTGTGGTCTTTGGCAATACCAGATAGTGAGGTGGTATTTTTTTCGGTGTTCGCAAAGGGATGAAAGTTGGTGATTGGGTTCGGTTCAATTGCGCGTAAGTATTTACTCTCATCTCGTTATTGCAATGTTTAACCGAGAGACTACAATGCCAATGATCTCTCTTTCTTACTCATGTGGGACATGGTGAGCCATGTATTTTAGAATTTTCGAGCTAATCTCGAATATAGTTGGGTGCCAGACTATTCGAATCATCGGTGTATCTTTATGGAATATATAAATGACTAGAATCATAAATCTTTTCCGAGAAGTCTTTGCTTGCTGTTTGTTCAAATGCTGTTACACTGCAATAAAGGGAAATTAATGATTGTTTTCTTGTGATGTATTATATATAAATATTTATTATCGCAATTGGGGATCACTTTGTAATGGAACCAAAATAAGTTGATGACTTCGCTTTGCAGGCCATCTGTGCGTCCTTATCTTGGCTGTTATTTACATGGAAAAAAGTTTGAAATAATCGACCCAGTACTTTCAGCACAAGCCTTCAACAATACAGTTCAAGTTAGTTTTATTGTCAAAAATTGTGGAGCATGAAGCAATTTTCTGTCTTTTTTATTTTTTTGATTCTATTGCATTAGATGTGTGCTACAGTGGTTAAGTTCGATTTTGAAAGTCTAAGGGTTGGAGATTGTTAAAAAAATTTCTTTATTTATTACCTTGAGCAATGTTTGCTTTGGATAAACTGAAATGTTTTTTGACAACTATCTTTGTTTATCGTAAGCCTCTTTCAAGAAAGTAATATTACGATTATGTTCAATGCAATGTTATGCCAGAGTACTGTGAAAATTTTTTTCTATTGAAATTATGTTGTCAACTATAAAAATAATAGAAATCAAAATATTGCTGACTGTCTGGATAGTTAAAAACTTAAAATTTTTGATAGGTAGAAATTACGACGACTGTTGCGGTTAATAATTTAAAATATTATCCGACTGGTGAAGTGACTCTTGAAACTGAAATTCTTGGAGACGTGGAATTCGGACAGGGGAAATTTCGACAAAATTACTGCAATAGACGTTTGTCTTTGCTTACCTGCAAAAACATACCATCTAAGCGAACTGGTGCTGTTTGGCAAGTGTTTAGCGTGTTAAATGAGGTCTCTTCGCTCTTTCTTTCAATTTGAACTTTGTGCATTCTTTTTACTTCGGCTTTTCTGTTTTTACTGAATTTTACAAAAAATTTGTTAAACTGATGAAAATTTAGTATGAACCGAAAAGGTTTTGTCATTCATTTCTTGTCATTGGTCAAAAAGAGAATCATATTTTACAAAACACTTCAATTCAAAAATACCCTTCAGCTCATGGAAGATTAAAAGTTGTTGGAACAAACAAAGTTAATACCTCTTATATCTTTAAAGTCTAAAACTTGTTACGTTTTATTTGTTTTCCGATAGCGTAATAAATATGTCACATGGAAAACTTTATGTCGAGTCTGGTTTAGATGGGAAAGTGGAGTGGGCGTTGTCTAGATAGTTATTTGGAAGGACTGATTAGGATTAAGTTTAATACTTCTAGTGAACCTTATGCGTACATTTTGCTCAGTTAATTTGTAGGGATGTGCAGAATTCACGCAACAATCAAATTCAGTTATAAATTTTTCAAATATGAATGATAATCCTTATAAGGAATTTGTTTCCACGAAGAAAAATGAATGTAATGCGAAAGTTGAAATAAACGATGATTGTCACTTCACTGTAAGTTTCAACCTTTTACTTTTAGCTCAAGCAAATGGTAAAGCGTTAGGTGTTGTACGATCGACATATTTATACAGTTTAGTATTGGTCCAGAAGCCGACAATAGCATCGCTTCTTAGAAATTTCTATTAAAAATGTTTGTTTGTGCTTCAGCACTTTCTTACCATCATCTCTACAACGTTTTAGTGAATTCTCGAGATAGGATTTTCTGGAACATTAATGTTCGATGGGGATAACTCTATTTTCAGTTAATTCCACTGTGGTTGCTGATTTCAGGAAATTAAGTTGCATCAACCAGATCTTTCATCGGATTTGCCGGGAACTGCTCAAAAAGTAAATTGATTATTCCTTGACAGCGAAATATTTTTGAAGTGGACGAGAGAATGAGAAAGGAAGAGCTAAATAATTAAAGATTTTTAAATCTCAATTCTCATTTAGTGTTTTCCAATAATGATTACATTTCAGGTAGTTGACGACAGCTTTTATTCGGGTTGGTTTCTTTTTCTGCAGAAAAACTTCATATTCCACCTTGAAAAATGATTTATATGTTTGATGTAAGAAAAAAGGGGCAACAAGAAATGTATGGTTATGAAGAGACAGTGATATGAGGATCAAAGGCTACAATCATCCAACGTTCCTTTTTTTCTCTTGATTTTTTTCTTAATAACTTAAAAGAAGTTACTTGATTCAATACGGCTAATGGATAGTTCTGCCTAAGGAATCATATAGAAGATCTCAAACATATATATTAAATCAGTTTAGAACTGGTATTTTAGACTTTTGTAACGATAATGTATTTGATAATTGTGATGTGGATAATGTTCAAACAGAAGAAGAATATGATCCGTTAAAAGAGCCAGCTTTCGGTGCTGTACAACCTCATGTTCTCCAAATTAATTCGTCAGTATGCAGCAGTGGCATAGACAGGCCCGATACGCTAGGTTTTTCTATTTTCCTTTCTGTGACTGTTTATATTTCTTTGTAAATTCCGGGAGGTCTTTATTTTACTTCAGTTTATTCGGATATTGCATGGGATGGAACAGTTAGTAACAATAGTTGGAGTAATAGTGAAAGGTATTACGAGTTTATTGAGCTAAATTCTTGCGAGTAAACTTCGCTGAACAGTCAAACAAAGTTATGCAGTAAGTAAACTTATGCAAACATTCCTTCTTTTCATAAAAAAATCACCGTAAAAAAGAAAGTCATTGGCGAAAAATAAAATTAGAAGTTTACATCAGTGTGTATTTTGAGCCAGGAACTGTACGCTACTTTTGAATAATAATGTTAAGTGCTTAAAAGTTGGAATTTTTACCAGACTTTATCAGGTTTTTATCAAGTTAGGTCTTCTTTTTTTAGAATTCAGACAAGCTCTTGCGTAGCTGTCAAGGTAAGTATTCCTTGATGACACAATATTTTTAGTTGTTACAGGCAACTGGAATACTGGTTTGAATGAGGAAATCTCTGAAGATGAGCAGGAAAAGTTGGATAATCGAGCAACAGAATACTGGATACGAGCATGGCAAATACCAGGAGTCCGTCAGCAAATTAAGGAAGCAGACATGATGTATTTTTTTTTCGATAACATTTTGAAGTAGGTTGACCAATCTCATAACTTACAAATGCGAATCTAATTTGTAGATTGCATGCAAACGTTATGCAGCTAATGACGGATCTCGGTGCAAGAACTGGTGAAGACAATCTGGAAAAAGTTCTCAAACCGTTATCGAATGACGGGCGATAATATTCAAATGTCTATTTATAGTGATCTGTCTTCCATCCATCCTAAACAAATAAATTAAAATCTTTGCACCATTGGATGGAAGGTTTATCTTTTGGTTTGTTACAAATATTTTGCCATTTTTATCTTTAAGTATATTTTACCTCAGCTATATTTTAATTCCTTCTTAATTGTAGGGGCGGTTTTTTCTTCGAAGGTTTGTGTATATTAAATATTACTGTGCTACTGTTAGGTATGTGCATGATTCTCTATTTTGAATGCGTTCTTATGTATCATTGTCATTCTCATCCTCTGAACGCTGAATTTTATATTTTTTATGGAATTCAAACTGAAAACGAATACCGATTTCTCCTAGAGTTTATTTTGGTTACATTACTGACTTTTTACTTTTGGACCGCTTAACTTTCGACTTTTTTTGAATTAATGAAAAATCTCGTTTTATTCGGCGTTTATTTTGATAGGCTTCTTGTGTCTGAATTTATATAAGTCTTTATTATGGTAAAGTTATTTGATGCTTCAATTCAATTGAGGTTGTTTGCATTGTTTGCATTTTGAATTCCTGATAAACATTGATATCAATAATATAAATGCATAATGACGTCTATGTTTATGGGTGAACGGAAAATGTGATGTTCAAGTGCCACGTAACTGGTCGCAATCACGTTTTTCCCATGACAGTTATGAAGTGTATGATGTTTTAATGCAAAATTAACTCTAGCAGTTATTAACTATGCAACCAATATAAGATAAAAAACAAAGAGCAGTAGGTGTAATTGTGTTTGGGCATAAGGAAGCATTAACATGAATATGTTATGCCAGGTAATTATGCATCGGAATCTTGATAAACATTCCTTCACTTTTTCTCTTAGCGACCAAATCTGAAATATATTGAACATATAGATTAGAATAATATAGTGATGTTAGGTATGCGTCAATTTCATGATTGATTGATTCATTTTAATTAGCATAGTTTTATTTTGTCCAAACTTGTGAGATGGAGAAAAAGCGCTAAATTTCTTTTTTTTTTCTTCTCTCTCTCTCTCTCTTTAAATATGCAGTCTTTTACATAGTGATAGCACTTTTTGAACTAATCATAATAATTATTCCATGTTAAGCATTGTAAAATTTCAATCGATTAATTCATAAATCTTATTTTGTTATTAATTAATGAATTACTTTTCATTACGATAAATGTATCATTGATTTAAAGAGATGAGAGTAAGACTGAAAAAGTATCATAAAAGCATAGGCGTATTCTTTCCTAAATTCGTTCTGAGCTTTTAAGTTTCTTTGTCCTATTCCATCCAGTCTACGTAACGTTTCCTAAATTTAAAATTATGAGCAAATAGAAAATCCCCCCGAAAAAGAAAAAATTCCGGGAAGTCTCGTTATATATTTCGTCCAACTAGAATTCCTCATCCATACATTTCATGCTTCCAGTCATTATTCTTTTTTCCGATTTTCTTAACACATCAAAACTTACCGCATGTATGCTGACTTTCTTTTTACATAATCATTGGAATCTACATAACGTTTTCCAAATCTAAAATTATTAACAAATGGAAAATTTTGGTAGGAAAAATTCTGGAGAATCTCTAATTGATTTTATTAATTGAGCGAAAAAAAAAAAATCTCGAGAATTGCTTAATGCAATCTATAACCTCATGTATGCGCTCTTCCGTTTTTCGCTCAAATGCGGTTCAGCCGCAAAAATTGCCGGATACAATCGTCCAAAACGCATATAGCTTGATTTCCGTTTCTCTATAGCATTTTCTGAAATTCGTTTTTTTTTTATCTTCTCTTAAATTAATTCTGCGGTAAAAAAAAAAGAAAAAAAAGGTATCTATTATTTCACTAAAATAAACAAATGATACCAGCACAAATATCGATGGTTGGATTAAGATGGCACATTGTTCGAATTTCTCGATCAATACTTTCCGGATCATTTTCATCCATCTCTAAACATTCCACTATTTCCACATTACCATATAATATCACCATCATTACCATCAATAGTACCAGTACAGATGGCATTTGATTTACTAGAATGATGCGTATTTGGTAGTACTGCTAAATAAAAAACAAATTTTTTTTCTTTTTTGAAATAATTTAAAGAATGAATGTAATAACAAGCCATTTATATCATTAAAAATGAATAATCATTAGTAGAAATTAGAAATGACATAATGATTATGGCTAATGTGACAATGATGTGACAGAGGAGAAAATTATACTTATGAAAAAATCAATATGTGTCATATGATATATAGCAAATAATTCATATAATCTTGCAAAACAAATTTTTAGTAAGCAAAAGAAAAAGTTATATTTCAAAAACTTGAAATTTAATCATGTAATGATTTGTAATTATAAAATTTTAAATTCTATCATATCCATTATATATTTTGCTAATTGTTCTGTATAATTTGCTATCATTTACTTATTTACGCATACTGTTAAAATATGCTAATTTATAAATTAAGCACTAACAAACAATACCTATTTTTATCAATATTTGATAAAAAGAAATAGTTATTGATTAAATAGCGAAAAGAAAAAAAGAAATCCTGTCATACTTATATTCAAATGATTGATATGATAGATCAACTTTCGATCAATTCTGATCAAAAAATGAAAATAGAGAATGGTTCTATACCATACATATTTGTTACAAATTACACTATATATATATATATTATACATTATTATGCATGCATAATTATAATGTAAAAATTAATTGAAAATAGCATACAATATGTATTGCATAAGAAATAAATTAAGATAAGGATCACAATTAAATTAACTTTAATCATAGTTAGATTCTTAATTAAACTGCATTCATTCATTTTAACACTTAAGTAAGTGAGAATAAACAAGGGAAAGTTAAAATGAGTTTGGTTAAGTCGATCTATTAAGTCTTAAGTCCATTTTTTAAGCTTATACTAAAACTAACAAAGATTCATTGAAGCAGCAAAATGCATAGAAATAGCTAAATTGAGTCTTGAAAAAATGAATAAATCATGGATTTTTTGATTTATTTTACAAAAAAAAAAAAAAGAAACCCAAAATGAAAGGCAAATTGCAATTTTTCTTTCAAAATAAAACAAAATCAATGAAAAAAAAAGACAAAAAAAAAAGTGAAAGAGAAATTTATTGAGAAAATTGAAATAAAGATGGCGAAGTAAGAAAAGAAAAGAAAAATAAGGGAAAAGTAAATGTAATATCAGAGGAAAGGAAAAAAAAATATTGTTCATTCTAACAAATGTAAATATTATTACAAATATTTTTATTATTTGATTTTTTAATTTTAAAAACTGAAAGTTTAAGAATTTTAAGGTGCTTATGTTTTCAGGATTTATGTTTCTAAAGTGTTTAGGAATCTGAAAGAGTATTTATGCTGCATTTTAATTAGTAATTAAAATATTATTTATTTATATGAAATTGCCCATTTTGTTTTCAGTACCAATTTTTCATCCAATAATTAAGTAAGTAAATATTTAGGCATTAATGAAGTTGAATAAAAGATACGGTACGATGATGTTCTGCAGGAATTAATAACTGAATATTGTTAAAATCGGATAATTTTATCCAATTAAAGTTTTCAAATTTTTCATTTCATTGTTTTTTATTTACCTATTTTTTTAGTAATTTTTCTTCTTATTTCTTTTTTTTCTAGATTATTCTACTTTATTAGTCACAGTAATCCTCTTATCTTAATGTATTTTGATCGCAATTGATTGATTCAATTGTATATTAGCCAAATGATTCATTTCTGGTTTCATTATTCTCTGCTAAATTACAAAAAATATCAGGATTAATACCTGAAGATAAGACCATAACTTAAGAACAAAAATGATTAATGCCTGAAAGTATAAGACTATATTTGAGGAACAAAGATAATCAATACCTGAAGATAATTACAGCCTTTGTTCTTTACTTAAACTTTATCTTCAGGTATTAATCTCGATATTTCTTGTAATTTACCTGGAAATAATGATACCAAAACTGAATCATTTTTATCATATGGGTATTTTAATTATGCCAGAAGATAAGGCTATACTCAAAGAATAAGGTTAATAAAAAAAATGGTTTCTTACAAATTACTGAAATAATTGTTAATTTTTAATTTACATCAATCCATACTATATGTAGATTGTTTACAAACAACAAGATTTATCTAAGTTTCTGTAATTTTGCTATGTGAAAGGACGACTAGGCCATAAGTTCAAGTATTCTGGCTTCATTTTCTCTTCCAATAGATTAAAGTAATCCAAGCCAAGTTAATAAAACAATCTGAAAAAAGAAAAATAAAATAAATGGTTAAATTCAAAATTTGACTCAAAAATTAGCAAAATTTATTCATAAAGAAGGATGAATTTACATATTTTAGAAGTAATGCAAAGTTTTTTCCACAAACTAATTCTAAACAAATAATAATTTTGTTGTGAAAGATGCTATAACTGATTTTATTAAAGTAATCTATGGGAAAGTATTAGGGAAAATGTTTCAATTTGTTGCTATTTCTTTTCATTTATTACACCGATTCATCTATTCAAACATTTATTCATCCATTCATTCTATTCATTCATCCATTCATTCATTCATTCATCCACCCATTCATTCATTCATTCATCCACCCATTCATTCATTCATTCATCCACCCATTCATCCATTCATTCATCCATTCATCAATCATCAATCAATCATTCAATCAATCAATCAATTAGCCAACCAATCAATACTCAACCAATCAATC